TTAATAATATAATAATTATAAATTATTATAGTATTATTCCACATCCAATCATGAAATGAAGAATTGTAAATGTGTGTTTACCATTGTAACTGAAGATAATCTAATGTGATCTATTTTCATTAAATAGGGTATGCATTTATAATACAATTATGGATGGAGGGTAACAAAAATGAAAGAACTGAAACGATAATATTACTATTCCACAGCAATCATGAAATGAAGAACAGCAAATGAGTAAATAATACTATATCATTTCAGCTTCTAATTTTCAAAATCTTTTCTACTCACTAATTTTTTTATATGATATTTGTCATGTTATTTTATTTGTTAGATTGCTAATTTTTACTTTTATTTTGATATATATGTTTTAACTTTTTCTTTTTTGATACAGGATTATAGGTATCCAACATATGCTATTGAAAACTCTAATTTTATTGGAGCTTATCTAAAACATCTGAGTCTTTTTTTAATTATATAAATATGAATTAGTTTTTGTAAATTGTATATTTAAAATGATATTTTTAATTTCACTATTAAGTTTATAGTTTAATATTGTTCCATTTTAAAAGTCTCACACATTTGTGGCTAAGTTTTATTTAATATATTTACCAAAAAAGTATTTTTATGGTTGAACTACAAAAAAAGCATACAGAAATATTTATAAAATTATTTAAATATCCTTAATGAATTACCCATTTATCCATATGTGTTGATTCATTAATGGTGTTTAAGTCTTTTCAAAGGCATTCTTACACTTTTATCCTATGGGTTAACTTGAAAAAAAAAATAATATATATATACAATATTAGTATTTATTAGTTAGCCCTGTAAAAGAAATAGGTGGAAAAACATTTAAAATTATATTATTTTAATAAAATATCATAAAAAATTAAAATAGCCTTAAAACTTAAGATATTTTAGTTTTTTTAATGCAAATTTATTGAAATAACGTAATTTTAAGATATTTTTTTTGTCCACCACCAGTTTTTCTGCCATCTTGGCTGGAGGTGGCAATGCTACTTCTGTTTCTATGGATTCCATATGGAAGAAAGAAAGATGAATATTAATTCTTAGTAAACAGAGATAATTTATCTATCATTTTATCCATCCCATTTATGTTGTGTTATAGGATTACTAGATAGGGGTTTATGTTGGAGTAGTAGAAAGTAATATGAATAAATTGAGAGATATTTGAACAGATTATAAATTTTAAATTTTAAATGTTAAGTTTTAATTTTGAGATAGTTGAAAAAAAATTAAAAAGGAAAATAAGATTATTTTATTTTGTACAATATATATAATATAGATCCAATAAAATTTTTTTATATTTTGTATATTCAGAAGATTAATGTTTTTATAAGGAGGGAGAAGGATTTGGTCTCCTAAAAAATGTTATTACCTTAAAAATTATGTACAATGTTAGATCCTACATCTAGAGAATATATATAATTAACAACATAGACAATAGATCATAAGCAAAGAAGAAAAAATGTTTAAATTTAAATTTTAAACTAAATTTTTTATATAATTTATTAAAATATATTTCAATATCCTACATAAATGACCTTATTTTTATAGAATTTTTATTTTATAGAATTTTTATTTCAATCAAAATTTTGTCCATACATAGGGAAGATTAAAAAGAAGAAAATGATGAAGATACATACCTGAAATAGGAAAATGTTAGAGTGAAAATGAAGGAGAAAACTCATAAATTGAGTAGTAATAAGATTTACATTGAAGAATATTAAAATTAATTAAGAATGCAAAGTGCATAAGAGAAGGGAAACGTTAGTTCCTTTAACTAGGAATAAGAAAGGTAGGGAAAAATGAAGTGTAAGGACCAACCTTTGATTTTCTTATTTCTTTCACAATTTTTCATTTAGCTTAAAATTCTAATGTTAAATATCTAATTGTAGATTATGTAACCAACCATAAACCAAATTTCATACATAAGGGCCTTTACCTTGGAATGAAGTCAATTTAAACCTTAAATCAAATAATAGAATAATAAAAAAAAGAGCATATATATTTGGATTATGAGATAAAGATTATTAAAGCAAATTTGGAACTATATGTAGAAATTTTATAAGGATAATAGTATAATATCCTTTAATTACGTTTTCTCAATTCTCTTAATATCCTTTCTTTTTAATGTAGCTCTTCATAATTTTTAAAAAAGTATTATTGACAATTAGCAGTTTTCAATTTAACTTTAATCATTTAATTAGAATTTTTTTATTAAAAAATTATTATAAAATTTAAGAATTAATAAAAAATAACATAAGATTGAACTTTTAATATAAAAATTAAAAAATAATCCTTGCAACGTACAGGAAAAAAAAACTAGTTAGTACATATAATATTAGAAATTTTAAAAAATAAAAAGAATTAATTATTAATAATATAAAATTTATTTTTTTAATACTTTAAATAGCGTGATTTATATTATATTATTAATTTTAGATTTAAATTTTAAATTTTAATTCTATTAATTGTTATTCTAAAACAATATAATAAAATCCAAATTACAAATGAATCTGAGGTTGTGAATATGTTTTAACATCCTGTAGATAAATCTATAATTAAAATAACTTTTGAACGTAGTGAGATCAATGGAGTGTAGCTTAGACGGTTGAGCGACGGTTAGCATTCGAAAGGTTTTGGGATTGATACCCTATGTCATTATTACATATGAATGAATGTATTCACAAGAATATTTTATATTATATTTAAATAAAATTATAATTTTTTATTTTTAATAATTAAAATTTTTTTATAACTTTTTAAGTAAA